TGCCTGCCTCTCTGGAGGGAGAGGGACATGCAGTCCGCCGACGGCAAGCCCGTCACTTACGCCAAAAAGCTGCTGTACCTCGCAAGGCTGGCGGAGCAGAGGGCACACCCGGCCCAGATCGTCAAGGTCAAGGCCCACAAGAAGGGGACGGAGGAGGCGAAGTGGACCAAGGAGGCAGACGCCAAAGCCAAGCAAGGCGCCAAGAAAGGGCTGATGTGGAAGGCCAGCAAGTCCTGGGAGAATGGCCCTGTGTCGGTGGCTCCCAGCAGACACTGGGAGACCGTGGATCTGCTGGGCTTGCAGGCACAAGACCCCAGCATCTGGGAGTTAGCGCAGGGCAGGGAGTATAAAGGGTGCAAGGTGTGGAAGGACGTCTCGGGGCTGGTCCTGGCACGGAGGGAGGGTGCGGATTTCCCGGTCTGGGTGGTGCCTGAACTCGTCCGGACAGAGCTGGTGGCCCTAGCTCATGAGCAGGGGCATTTGGGGACAGACAAGACCATGGTGAGGCTGCAGGGTGCTGGGTGGTGGCCTGAAATGAGAGAGGATGTGGAGAGGTATGTCAGCAACTGCCTGACGTGCGCGGCCAACAATCCCGATGTCAAAACAACAAAAGCCCTCCTGGGCCACCAGAGGATTTCTGGGCCATGGAGCAAGTTGCAGATGGAGTTCATTGGCCCTTTGCCCCAAACAGCCCAAGGGAACAGGTATTGCCTGGTGGTCAGCGATCACTTCACCAAGTGGGTGGAAGCATTTCCAGCTCGAAACAACACAGCCAGTGCAAGTGCAAAGATCCTGGTAGAGCATGTCTTCTCACGGTGGGGCGTCCCAAAGGAGATCGACTCGGACCATGGCCAACGCTTCGTCACAGAACTCACGAAAGCGGTGTGCCAAGCCCTGGGCATCAAGCAAAAGCTTCACATCACAGGGCATTTCCAGAAGCCCGTTTCGGCGGAGGGGCCCAACCAACCACTGAAGATGGCGCTGAGGAAGCTTGTGAACCAACAAAGGAAAGACTGGGATCAGAAGCTCCCAGTGGTCCTGCTGGCGTTACGGGGGGCCGTGGCATCTCATGCACCTTCTCCACAAAAGCTGCCTCCTCCAAGAGATCCGAAGTTGCCAGGACGCTGGTGGCAAAGAGGGGAGCCACCAGATGAACTGCAGCCCCGCGTGCTGATGGACAGGTGGGTCCAGGACATCCTGAGGACTGTGTTGGCTACATACCACCAGCTTGCCTCGGTGCAGGAGACCAACATCCCCAAGATGGATAAGCAGCTGGGAGCGCTGCTGCGCCCCGTGGAGTGGAACACGGGGGACCTGGTAACATATCGGGGGGTTAGAGAGAAGAACCAGGTGCTGGCACCCCAATGGATGGGGCCCGTGAGGGTTGTGAACAAGGCCAGCCCCTCCATGTACCAGGTAGAAATCAGAAAGGGGGCGAAAAGGCAGGAAAAATGGCTCCATTCTTCACAGTTAAAAGCATGGAAGGGAAATTAACGGGGCTGGAGAGCCCGTCTAGCTTATGTTTTGCAGATAAAGGAAAAGGGAAGGCGATTGTGACCGGCGGGAAGGGCGAACTTCGTGGCATCACCAGCCCTGTTTGCGCTGCGGGGAAAATGCTTTCAAATTTGTGGTTGCAGGATTTGCTTTGCTTTCTGGTATGTGCATAGCGCTGAGCACCCAGCATGCCCAACCAACTCATCAGCACCTCAGACAAAAAGTCAGGCGTTCCCACTTAGAAAGGCACCCTGAAACATGGCCCACAGCCCAGCACAGGGTTAGGAGGTACATGAAAATTGGGACCGATTGGCCCTGGTCTCAAGCTCACATAAAATATACAGGAAGCATGGGATTAAGTTCTAACAAAGGCTTAAATTTGTCAACGGTGGTTATGCACGGGACGGAGGTGTACTTGGAAAACGAGTGGGGCTGGGATAGCACAAACAGATTTCCACAGCTGCTGGGGAAGGTGGGACAAGAAATAAAGGTAGGGTGCAGGGTAATTAACGGACCCCCCCCCCAGCCAGTAACTCAAATCTCCGTCACCGAAGTAAAAACTAAGAAGAATCAGAAAAAAAACTGTGCTGTGGAAAAATTGGACTGTTGGTACAATTTTACTTTGGTCCAGCCAGTGTTTGTGGTCTGCCTCTGGGCACGCAACAGCGTGGGGCTGTCCTTTAAATTCCAGATTAGCACCATGACGCACTCCTTTGCTGCCGTGAAGATCTCAAAGTGCCATTTTTTGGCCTGGCATGCGGCCCAGTATGCTGAAGTTGGCAACCGAGTAAAATTGAAAATTAATTACTCCCAAGAAAGTATAACCGACCCGATGCAAATCGATGGCACCACCGTCACCGTCTCTGCCCCTGACAGCCGCAAGTGGGTCGTGCCAGTAAACTGCCTCCGCGAGAGCAAAATGCTCAATAGATCTGAACTAGGCACAGAGGCTGCATGGTATAATCAGGATTACGGACCCTGCCCACACCTGGTCATAAACCTCCAGGTGTGGTGTCAAGGAAACCTGAACGTAGAAATGTCCCCAGAGCTTGGAGGGAAGTGGTGGATAGGAGGCCCTGAAGGATTTAAAAAGGAGTTTACCATCATTGCTGTCTTACGCCCTTTTGTTTCCAAAATAGGCCCTTATGTAGTCAAGCAAAATCACATCCAAGAGCTGTTGACCGGGCCTGTCCGGTCACTGAAGAAGGTGGTGTTGTCTCTGTCCACCGTCAATATTTCATCCGTCAGACCCCACTGTACCCCCTTTCTGTCCCCCCGGCACAATGGCTGGCTGGCCTGGCTCCACAGCCGCTCCATCCAGGGGATCCGGGCCAGAAGAGACCTGCTGGCCACGGCGCTGGGAGGAGGAGGTGCCGGGCTGGGAGTCCTCAACAGTATGAACGTTGAGGTCTTGGCTAACAAGCTGGAGACTGTCACCTCGGGCGTGCAGGGCCTCCTCAACCCCTTGAATTCATCCTTGGCCAGCCTTGGGATGGGGCAGTGGCTCGTGTCCGAGGTGTTGCCCACCTGGGAACAAATAAGTGAGAAAGACCACCAGCTGCTGTTACGAGCACTGGGCATCGAACAAAATAATGTCTCCCTTGCTCTCAGTTGCATCCAGGCCCAGATGTGGGTGCAGAGTGTCATTGCAGGTATCCTGAGAGATGGTGACAACGGCGTCCTCCCCACCGAGATCCGAAAGATCGTGTGGGACGCAGCCACAGAGAAGGAGCGGCAGCTCCAAGCCTGGTGGAGGCTCGTCAACTTCACCCATGACCAGGTCCTCAACGCAGTCATCGCCTACGTCCTGACCGTGGCAGAGGCTCGCATCGAAAAGGTCTACCCCATCGTGGCCCTGGGGGTTAACACAAACGGGTCGGTGGTCTACCCCCTGGACCATCGCATGTGGGCGAGGGTGTCTGATGGGAAATGGCAATCAGTAGATCTGGAAGCCTGCATTTTGGAAAGGGGGCTGGGATTCATATGCGAAGATGACGCCCTTAAGGCGAGCGATGTTTGCTTTGACACCAAAGAAGGGGTGTGCCATTTTGAGATCAATCCCCAGAGCAGTAATAAAACCGTGTTAGTGTACGTAGGGAAGGGGTGCGTGTGTTTTAGAACCATGTGTCAACATGTGCAAATTAATGACGTGTATAATCAGACCGTGTTTAATGACTCCAATATGTGTGCTTGCAATGTAGCTATTATTAGAGGCTGCGATTTTGTGTATAAACCGCCTGTGTTTACTAGCCAGTTGCTAATCAGAAACTACACCTTGTATCATAGTATAACCCCAACCCCCATTGGTATGGATTTGTCCCTTGTAAAAGAAATGTTAGAGCATGCGAATTTACAGCAGCTGTTAGAAAATGCCAAGGCAGAAGCTAAAAAGATCCTAATAACTGTGCATCATGATGGCAATGTTATAAAGCAGGTAATAGAACGAATTAAGAGGGTGGGAGAACACCACTGGTGGGAAATTTTCTTCGGCTGGTCCCCCACGGCCACCGGCCTCTTCAATACGCTGTTGCATCCCGTTGTAGTTATATTGCTAATGCAAGTCTGTGTGTGCTTCGCCATGGTAGCGAATTGTCACTGGATGAGGCAGGTGAAACTCTGCATTGACAACCAGATGAAAGGACTGGGGCTGGCCAAGCGCCTCCTACCATAGTCAAGGGCAAGACTGGGTTGGCCTCTGTGTTTGCCACCAAGAAGAACTTCTAGCTCCGCTGTTGGCTGCAACCCAGTAGGCGTTGAGCGGTGGGGACACACGCCATACCAGACCTTGATGTGAGGGATGGCCTCCTCTGCTATAAGAGGGCCATCCAGGAGGGGAGGGCAGGCCAAGCAGCCTGCGGTTGGCATGAATCACAGAATGGTTGAGGTTGGAAGGGACCTCTTGAGATGATCTAGTCCAACACCCCCTGCTCAAGCAGGGTCACCTAGAGCAGATTGCCCAGGACTGCGTCCAGCTGGGTTTTGACTATCTCCACAGATGGAGACTCCACAACCTCTCTGGGCTAACCTGTTCCAGTGTTTTATAACCCTCACAGTAAAAAAGCAAGAGTTAGCATAAGTAACTTGTCTTGGAACCTCCCATCCCCGAATGCTAATGTGAAGAAGCTGCTCTTGTGTGATTTAAGACTCCTTAAGCAGAGGAGAAGGGGATAAGGAAAGCCAAGGACAATGTCTTTGGAAGGAAAGCGAAGGGAATGTAACGCCTGAGCGCGGAAAACAACCCACTGAAGATTGCAGTGGTGTTACCAGCCTCAAAGACTTGGAAAGACGATAAAAGATGAGCAGAACGAAAGGCCCTGTAATCACCTCGGACTTAACGGAGCTGAATCCACATGGACCTTTGCAGCAACTACCTCTGGGATCCCGAGACTCCCAGGACGTCTGGCCAACGGATTGGTGAGATCTTGTTTTCGGAGCCTGGACATCACCGCTTTGCTTTGCCTAGTTTGCCTAGTGCATGTACTCAATAAAATTGTTCTGTTAGAGGATGGCCTGCCTGTTCGATCGCCGCCTGCTCAGCTGCTCACTACCCAGGCTTGTAACTTTGGCTACACTAGGAAAGAGAAAATCTGGTGAAAAGACGTGGGTTGGTTTTTTTTTTTCCCTTTTATAGGCCAAAATCCCTCACTTGCTTTCTGTCTGCAGAATGTTCACTGAAACATAAAGATTTCTGCCTTGGGCTGAAGAGTGGGGCTCTGACCTGGTGCACAAACCTGCTCCTCTCCTCCATTCTGCCGCTCCGACCTGTGTCACCCCCCTGCCTCTGAACCCTGGAGGAGCCTTAAAATATACATAGGGGGTCTCAAACAGTTTAAAACCATCATCAATTTCAAAACTAGATTAGCCACCCCATTTCCAGCCCATGTGTCTGACCTCATCTCAGAGGTGCTGCTCGCGCAGAGAACGGGGGGTTTATGCAGACAAAAAGCCCTTTGCAATCCAGGCTGAAATTAAAAGGTTAAAGAGCTGGCCTTTAACCCAACAGGCAACTGCTGGGCCAGCTCCAGAAATGAGTTAAACCCCCCACTTTTCACAATCACCAGGCTGGGAAGCGCAAAGAAGCAGCGCATTGCCGCAGAATAATTTAAAGAAAAGTGAAACTTTGGTACACGGATTCGATAAAAGACACTTCTCTTTAAGAAGCACACATTATAACTGAGCTCATGAAAAAATGAATAAATCAATCACTGTCTAAAACACAGAAATCCCTTTTCCCCCTCCAAGCACCACGAAAACACTCCCTTCACCCTTGGGATGGGAGGTTGAAATCCCCCCCCGCCCCAGCCTGGGAAAGGGCCGGTGCCTGGTCCCCCCTACGCTCTGCTGCTCCCTTCCTTTTGCTCACAACAAAGCCTCACAGAAAACACACGGTTATTTTGGTTAAAGCACCTTTCATACTTGCTAACACGCTACATGTTTCATGAGAATTCATTTCCTTGTGAATAATTACCCTTTTTATACAAAGCCTTTACCCCTCCAACCTGTTTTCGGAGCCTGCAGGGGAAAAACGAACCACCAAAAATTCACATTGTCCACTCTTCAGTCCCAAGCTGCACCAGGACCTGAAGTTTCCCGCCTTTTTAGTGTCATTTGTTTATCACCACAAACCGAGGAGGGCTGTTTTCACGGCAGCAGCAGTATCGCTGCGGCTGCAATAGACTCCGGGTGCAGCCTGGGGGAAGGACCTTGAGGCAGAGGCTTTTGCTGCTTTTCCAGTGGTTTCGGTAGATCCCACAAAAGATATTACACAAACCTGCCTGCTTTTTGGAGCCAAACGGGTTACACAATCGTATTTATTCCCTGGTGTTTTCGCCCCTGACCTCTGTGCTCTGGAGCGGAGGGAAGCTGGCCGGTGCAGAGCGTGCAAGCTGTGGCCCACAGAAACCCCCAACCCATCTGCAGTGCACCGGCTCCCCTCGGTTCCAACTCGATCAAGGGAAGAAGCAGTTTTCAGAGCAAGCCCAGCCTGGCTGCCTCTGCTT